GGTTAAAATACATTTTTACATCTTTCAGTTATTAAAAAACAAAAAAACAAGTCTAAATTAACAACAACAAAATTAAACTCCAAATTTATTTACTTTTACATTGAAATGCTTGACTTTTAAAGTTATAATTAATCACAAAAAACTACTTGGCAAAAAATGATGTATAATTATAAAAGGAAGGCTTTAATTTAAAAAACTTTGTAACGTGAATATATTGACGATGCTGGATTGCAGTAAAAACTGAATTTATTGACTGAATACGTAAAAACTGGTGCAATATTTGATTTATTGACACAACTGGATTGCGGTTAGCCTAAGAGATAATAATATATAACATTTTTTTCATTTCACGGTCTTCCGTTTTTTAATTTATTTTTATAAACAATGTCAATCACAATATATATGTATATATATATATATATATATATATATATATATATATATATATATATATATATATATATATATATTAAAGATTAATTGAGAACAAGGCTTAACGTGAAAATGTGAGAACAACACATTTACCCCGATGTGATGCACGATGAGGCTAGCCTAATGCACTTTTTCACATTCACCATAATATTTAGATTATTTACCAAAATGCCACTGTTATTATTTATATTGGCTTGTTTGGAGTAAAGTCAAAATGTGCATTAGACGGGCTCTATTGTGTATCATATTGGGTTAAATGTTAGTGTTCTCACGTTAAGCATCGTTCTCATTAGAACCGCACCCTATATATATATATATAGAAAAGATCAGGTCTGAACGTTCGGACCTGAGCCTCCGTATGAACACCGCCGTTCGGGGGCGGTTCCCGGTAGAATTGTTTAATGAAATTTTTATGATATGTTCTTCATCAAGTCCAGTTTATCCAAATCAAATTTCAGCTCAAAATTCGATCGGAAAGGCCGTCAAATGATTTTTTTAAGTTGTCTGCGTTTTTATATGTATAATTTGGTGCAGTCAATTTCAAAAAATCATTTGAAGGCTATCCCATTCGAATTTTGAGCTGAAATTTGGTATGGAGAAACTAGATTTGATGAAGAACATACCATAAAAATTTCATCAAAAAATTCACCGGAAACCGCCCCAAACGACGTTGTTCGGACGGGGCTCGGACGGGGAATGTTCGGACCTGAACATTCATCTATATATATATATATATATATATATGAATATGAATATGAATAGATGTTATATTTGACATTTTAAAGAAAACATTATGAAAAAAATGATGTAAAAATTTTGTTAAGTTTGACCCACACAGGGTAATAAGGTAAAATCAATTTGGTCGAGATTCATGCAGGGGCGTTTTTAGAACTCAGGAGTAGGCCTGTCAATGGGTCGGGTCCAGGTCGGAACGTAGTGTTCCAGACCCGGACCCGCTAAGTTAATAATAGATATGGACCTGACCCGTTTACCCGACGGATCTAAAAAATTGGACTCGGACCCAGACCCGACGGGTCTAGGAATCGGGTCGGGTAGACCCGTCAAGTATGATATGTATATGAAATGTAAAATGACGTGCTCAAACTTAAAAGAAAAATATATCTTCACTTTTAAAAAAAATCAAGATTTCTCATAAAAATTAGTACTTTTATCCAATAAAGTATCGATTCTTAGAGAGGTGTATAACATTACACTCTATGTTGCTTTCTCTTGCACATAAAACTTGTAGAATATATTACAAATTACGTCAAAAAATGTCTAGTATAAAAACATATTATGTATGATATTCATTTAATAATATAATATTAATAATAACAATAAGAAATATTGAGCTTTGCCTACTGGTCTGGATACACACTTTATCAGTACGTATAAATGGCGAAAATTTGTATTACTTTTAGGTATCTCACTATTGATCAGTATCACTTATAGAGTAGGTATTTGTATTAGTATTTATATTTTTAATTGAAGAATTCAACTAATAACTTTAGGCATTATTATGTGTAGGTGTGTGTGTGTATTAGTCCCCCTCTTTAATTTTGTAATTTTCTTATTTTCATTAAAACCTGGTAAATGTTCCCCTGCATTTACCCCACTGATTTTGGTGGTTTACCTACCGGGCAAAAAAAGAAGTGTGTGTGTATTAGTAATTAGTTTGTATTTTTTATTTGAAGTATTATAACTAATCACTTTATGTATTAGTGTTTTTTTAATCCGGAAGGCAAACCACCAAAATCAGTGGGGTAGATGCCGGGGAATATCTACCATATTTTATTAAAAAGAAATGTAATTACAATAGAAATTTCAAATATTAGCGTGTGTATAATATTAAGAAATTTTAAATGGGTCCTTAACGGGTCGGAATCTTATGTACCATGTTCGACCCATTTATGAAAAATACTAACGGGTCCGGATCCGAGTCTGAGTAAACGAAATAAAATATAGATCCGTACCGTTAAAAACACCCGGGTCCGGGTCTAGACCCGACCCATTGACAGGCCTACTCAGGAGGCCCTAGACGAAACAACACTAAATACTGATGTATCATACGAAGTATATATTAATGTGATTTCTATAACACAAACATAAAAAAATATTATGATATAAATTGAATAAAACACAAAATGTGAAAAACAACACATATTCAAAGTGCATCATATATTGTGAACATCAAATTAATGAAATTTTAAATGCAAACATATGTAAAATAAACTTACACTATCTGGGCCCCAGATAAAAATCGTCATTTATCTTTTTTCGATGTTCCATTTAAAAAGTTCTCATTCTCATTTTCATTTTAGAAAAAAATTAGCTCTTTAAAATTGCAACATTGGAATATATACACTATTCATGTATTTTGCTTTGACTACATTTTATTTATTAATGTAAGTGGATTATTTTTTTTTTGAAAAATATTGTTAAATTCATCTCATTACTAAGTTTTATAATCTGATTTTTATTTTATTTTTTACTAATACAGAATTAAATATAATGACGGTCAAAGTTGTGCGTTGACAAACGTGAAATGTTGACCGTTGCAACTAAAAAAAGACGGAGGAAGTAATTCAACCATCACATATTAAAATCAATAGTCTCATAACATCACACCTATAATCCATTACTTCATTATATTCTATACTTCCCCAAATTATTTCTTAAGTTATACTCAAATTATCTTATTTAATTATTACCTAAAAATGTTCCTTTTAAATGAAAACCTTAAAATGAGATGAAGTAGAACTTTTAATCCCTACCATTCTTGATTTTTGGTCGCCGTGTAACGTAACATACTTACACAAAAATCATAAATCAAGCAGACAACAAAAAAACTAAAGTTCACAAATAAGAAATAGTTATGATTGAAAATAAAAAATCAAACTAAATAACCACTCCCATCAAATCATTTAAACTTCAATAATTAATGGTGGCTACGAGCCTGACTACTAGTTAAAGCTAAAATTATTGAAGCCTAATTTTAGACTACCAATATACCCAACTATTAAAACTAAAATATATACTCACTACGTTCTTCAATAGATGCCCTTATAGGGTTTGATACAAGTTTTAAGCGGAAAATAATAGAGGTAGTGTAAAAGATTTAGTGAATTGTGTTTGAAGAAAAAAAATGAAATAAAATGAAAAATTAGGAAAGAGAATGAGAGTATATAGGCTTATTTGTTGAAAAAAATTTCTAAAAATGGAAAGAGAGACAAATATTAAAGAACATCTCAAAATAAAAAGAAAGACATGTATTGGAGAACGGATGAAGTATTTTATATTATTAATATTTTTTTGAGGCCCACCAGAATATGAGGCCCAAGACAAATGTCTTCCCTTACTCCCCTCAAAGCTACCTCTCAATTTAGTGAGACGGATGGAAAGAAATAATATGAAATGCAAATTAATTGATTAAATGAGAAAATGGTGAAATTATAAAAGACATTTACGGTATTTATTACTCCATCTGTCCCATTATAGTTGTCTCATTTTTTCCTTTTCATCCGTCTCACTAAATTTGTTCGATATCGTATTTGGTAATTTTTGTGTGACTCTAATCCATTCTTACTTTATTCTAATTTAATAAACCATTATAACTCTACTTTTCTTAAAAATTGCGCAACCCTCCTTTATCCCAATCTTAGAGGGATGAAAGTAGTAGTTTTGATGTATTTATCTCTTTAACATGTTAGCGATCCTATCACACTGTCAGGCTGGCTTGACAGGACTTGCAGTCAAGCCAAGCCCGTTTGAGACCCTTTCCGGTGAAATCTTTTGATTAAATTTTTTGAGCATATTTTTCATCAAATCTAGTTTATGCCCATCAAATTTAACTTAAAATACAACCGGGAAGGCAGCCAAATAAATTATTTATAAACACAATGCTTTATATTTATAGAAACATCACATTATTTTTGAATTCGAATGACTTTCCGATTAAATATTTAAATGAAATTTGATTGACATAAACTAGATTAGATGAAAAATATGCTCAAATAATAACATGTTCCTAAATTATGATATGAGAGTAATGAGGGAGATGATGACATGAATCCTAAATGGGTCCTGTCATGCCGACCTGATATGATGTATCTTCCTCTTTAGAATTAAAAACTAACATAATGGTGGATAGGCTTAGCATTTAGTTATAAAGGCTGAATGTGGCGGTGACACACCCATGTTCTATGTTATATTCCGCTGCATAACTTTTGAATGTTTATTTTTAAATAAACAAATTCTGTGATTCTAAGTATTATTTTGGGAAGGGAATTTGGGGGTGTTACAGAAGCAAGAATCCTAAAACGAGATGGACTTCGTATTAATGTGCAAAAACAAAGTAGGGTAATCTTTATAAATTGTAATCCCAAATAACAACAAGATTACCATGATTTTTTTTGGTAATCCGCCCGTTGGCCAGCAAATGTAGAACAACTACAGTAATGCTTCGCACATGAACAACGACAGCAATTCTCATTGTCAGCAGAAGTGGGCCACCACCTGGACTGATATATAATCGGTCACTGTCTATTGTTCAGATAAAGCAATGTTTTCCAGGGGACAGCTCACACTTGCAGTTCCAAATGCGCAGATTTTCCCTGCTGCGATACACTGTCTCAAGTCACGCCAATTTCAATCCTTACCCAAAAGCCTACATCCTTCCAATTTTGTATTCTTCGCATAAATTCATCTTCTTGGCCGTACCCATTGCGTAGATTCTGTTTCTTGATTTCACGATAAAGCTTCACGGCGTCCGGCCGGCCGGCTGTCAACCCAGTACTCTTCCTGGCCAGGACCGGCTTAGTCCGACAGAGAGAGTTCTGGAATGGGAACGGCGTGTGAAATGAGGGCTCTTAGCTCGCTGGAGCTTATGCTGATGAAGCTCCAGCATGCGGAGGAACGACCGGAAGATACGCCGCCGGCATTGCCAGCTCGGCCGGTCATGAAGGTCCGGCAGCCGCGGCAGAGGAAGAAACTACCTTTTGTGTTTAACAGTAATAGCGAGCTTCATCAGATGACTGGGAAATCTTTGGCGGGCATAGAGAAGAATGGCTTTCTTGATACTGTTTCTCAACTCGGATTATCAGAGGTTCATGCGCCCATTGATTTTAATAAGGTGAGTTGTGATAATTAACTCAAGTGACTAATATTTTTTCGATTTTGCTAAAGGTATCCATCCACATATCTGAATATGCTATCCAAGGCCAATCAAAGTTATCTGATTAAGATTCATAATCTTGGATTAGTTTTCCTGCATTACATGGGGAATTTCGTTGTAATTTTTTGTAAAGTTACAACATTACAACAACAGCCTCCTAGCTTTATTCTCAATAGATTTTATAATCGACTAAAATGAATCGATCCATGATATTAGAGAAAAAATAGAAAAGGTGACATAAGAAAAATCAAAAGATATGGTAAAGATAATTTTTTATAGTTATCGAATGAAATTAGAAAAAGTTTTCTTTTTGAAGTGGACATTAAGAGCCTGTTTTGTAACACTAAAATTGGCTGAATTGGCTGATTCTGCTGAAATTTATGAAGTTTTGGCTGAAGTGACTGTATTGGCTGATTCTGCTGATCCATAAAAAAATTATATTTAAAATATTTGTTATCAATAAATTAAATAAAAAATTATATGAAAAAATAGCTAAAATGACCTCTACAGTAACTTCAGCCAAAATAGCCAGAAAAATAACTCCAACCTTACTTTTTTTGCTTATTACAAACTTCTGCGCGCGAAATCATAAATTACGTGTTTGGTGAAAAAGCTGGTTGATAAGCGTGATAACCAAAAAAGGGTCACCAGGGCTCTAAGTTTTACTCTTTTCTTCCCGAAATATAGTTTTTGTTTTGGTCAAGAATTGTTTAAAAAGATAAACAAGACCTAAATAGAAACAAATAGAAGATACTCCTAAAATTAGAGTTTTTTTGAAGACAAGAATTAGGGTTATGCACGGTTTCAGACAGTTTGGGATTTGACCGAAAAATGTCTCTATTTGTTTGTCTCCGATTCAAAACTTAGGAGAGATAAAGTTTCCATTAAATTGAGTAAAAAGTGATCTAATTAGAAAAATCTACGTAGTAATAATTTAGAAAAATGTCTCTAATTGAGGAAAAATTGAGCAAAGAAAAATCTAATTTAAACTTTAAAAAAAGCACATGCAAAGTCAAATACGGAGTAGTTCATTGGAAGAAGCTCAAATACAAACTTATGGATCGTGATTCTTGGAAGCTAGGTTAGTACTTTGTAGAATTTTTTCAGTTTGATGTTTGGGCTCAGAAAAAATAGAAGAACAATATTATTTGTGTTGCTACAAATGATGGTCCTAAATGTAAATAGAAATGGGACAGGGCCAAAATAGTTCTGGTATTTTTCAGAACTACCTGAACTATTGCTCACCCCTAAATTCCCTAATCAGAACTACAAGTTTATTTCCTTAGAGGAAATAGGAAAACTATTTTCAAACAGACCAAGGGAAACGAAAGAATAGTTTCCTTCCTTAAAAGTCCTGCAAAATGATTTGTCGGGTTTACGCAGTTCATTTGGTTATGATCATTTTGGTTGCGAAATTAATGCTGGTCTTACAGGATGTAAAAGATGAGGAGGAAGGAGGACTACAGGAAGGGGTAATGATAATCCAGAGATGTTACAGAGGCTACCAAGCCTACAGCTACTATAGGAAGTTCAAGAGTGGAGCAATTGCACTTCAATCATGTAATGAACTTCTTCAACTAAACGCAGAATATATTAAACTTCTTTCTGTTCTTTTTTCTGCCTTTTAATGTCTGATGAGTAAAGCATCCTGGTTAACGGGCTAGCATGTGGGTGCATTTATAATGTGCTGTTGTGAGGGGGTGAAAATGCAAGACATGGCTACGAGGAAAGATTACATTGAATATAAGTATCCACCTAACTCTATTAATATGAATACTTCTAGGAGGTTCCAAAGAAATACAAATCTAGCATCTTGGACAAAACTCAAAAGTAGAGAATATGATATAAATGTGGAGTGAAGGTGATGTTTGGGGTCATATGTTTCTCAGAATCAGTAACCTTTAGCTTCAAAATCTCCTACAAGCTTCATTACAACCTCCAAATCTAGTCAAAAAGAGCATAAACCCTATATGCATTCAACAGGTATTCGAGGTTGGTTGGCTCGAAGGGAATTTGTTAAGCAAGTAGTGAGTCAAGAGGCAAACAAGAGTGAGCTCACTAAGGTATACTATAACCCTTTTTTTATCACCACTCAAAAGACAGAGTCTCTTAAAGCAATTTCGGCTGATATGGCGGTTTGTATTATATTCCATATTCAGGTTCCAATAATAGTTTTACTTGAACTTGGAAGAAAAGTTCTGATTAGTGAGGCTGCTTTGGAGAGGAAGAGAGATGAAAGTTCTTCTCTGAAGAAACTTATTGCGGATTATGAAATGACATGGAGGCAGCATGAAGCAAGGATGCAATACTTGGAGACCATGTGGCAAGATGAGCTGACTTCTATACAAGTTCGTCTAGCAATCACTCTGTTCTTTTTGGCATTTAGAACTTATTCACTTGGAATGTCAGTCCAACACTATAGCATATTAGACAAGACCAATTAAAACAGACTTAAATACGAAACCGTACATCAGATCAGTTCAAACGTGACCAGACTAGTAATTTCAGTCCATTCGTGGTTAGGTGGATGAGTTTTAAGAGCCCGTCTGGTATTACTACGTATAAATTTTTTCTTAGCAAACTGAGTTGACTAAAGTTACTAACTTTATGTAGGAAATTAAAGGACTGAGTTAGATCAATAAGTCGAATTTTCTAAAAAAATTGGTGATGGAAGTTAAAGAAAGCTACACTCTTGTCCAATAATATGTGTTTCAGTTTTATTATCCCTTAGTATTGGTCTCATACTCTCATTCCATATTTGACAAAATTTATGTGCCTTACAATATTCCATTCTTCGTCATTACCCCAGTGCCGCAAAGGCTCCCCACCTATGGTGGGGTAATGGAGGATCGGATGTACACAGTCTTACCCCTGTTCTAAAGCACAGAGAGACTGTTTCCGGATGACCCGTAGTGAACTTCGCGTCGGAAATTGCATGGACTGACTACTGCTTCATAACAAAGAAGCGCAAACAGTTTAGTGAGCCATTTTGTTTTATTCCATCATATTCCCAAGCCAAAAAATAGTGAGTCTTTGGCTCCATTGCAAATGATGGAAAATGCCTTACAATATTCCATACTGAATGTAATATGAAGCATACAATTACCCGTTGGGTTGCATGCCACAAATCCACAAGTGTTTGGACAAACGCGCCCTTCGGAACATATCTTAGTAATGGTATTGGTGTCATTTGCATCACTTCAGCTAAGAAGTAGGTGAAAGAGTAACTTCAGGCCTTCAGCACTCGTTTGAGCTAACTCAGCATTTAAGACAAAATAAATTACTGTCTATAAAATATATACTCTGTATAAATTAGTGTTTGATAAATTAGATGGCAAGACTGATAAGTGGAAAAATTTCTCCAACCAAATAGGCACTTAAAGTTGTCCAAATCTTACTACCTTGTGGAATGATCAAAACTATAGCATAAACAAGAAAACTTAATCTCCTTGTTTCTCTATTTCTCACTTGATCGAGACCAATGACATAAATATGGTTTCTTTTTCTGAATATATTTGTGCAGACAAGTCTAGCTGAAGCCAGGAAACAACAAGCTTTAGCTGGTGACAATGGACCTTCAAGATCAATTGAAATCACATCAGGAAGAGTCAAAATTAAACCTTTTGTGGTTTCTCATCCTGAGATGAATAATGAGATCAAACCAGATAAAGAGGTCTCCAGTTTTAGCCCCAAAGATGAATTAGCAAAGCTGAAGCTAAAGTTTGAAGCGTGGACAAAGGGTTATAGAAAAACATTGCAGGAAGCAAAAGCAAGAATGAAGAAGCTGGGACAGCCTGCCAAACGTAAGAGTTCAGGGATTTGGTGTGGGAGATGAAAGCAGCTTCAATTCTTTGTTGGTTCCAAGGCCAAATCTCCAGAAATTTGTTCTGATTTAGATAGAGAAGAAAATAGGAAATGTATAGATAAGAGGTTGACCGGAAGGAAACATAAATTTTGTATAATCTCTAGTAAACCATTATTATAATTAAATTCTGTTTCATCCCTATGCAACATCATACGAAGAACTACGTTCTGTTTAGGCTATGTTTGACATAGCAAGCTGAATCTAAGACTAATGTCTGAATTGAGAGCTATTGTGTGAATTAGAGACTATTGTCTGGAACTCAATTATAAAGTGATGATTGATGAATCGAAATTGCTAGGTGAATGAAGTACATCCGTTTGTCAAAAGAGCTGAAAGGGTGATTGGAAAATATAACATTACATACATTAAAGGGCTTAAAATATTTTTTTTCAAAAAATTATTATTATAATAGTTTTTATATTTTAATAAATAGATTATATTATATTTACTACTTGACAAAGTTGATGAAACGGTTAGCACCACAAGAGGGGGGGTGAATTGTGTGTGTGTGGAACCGTTGCAGATTTTCGCACAGTTCTAGTGTGGGATTCAGGGGAATGCGAAATAGTAAAGTGAACAAGGATTTAACGAGAAAAAATCCCTTGGCTCAAAGGGATTAAAAAACCTCGACCTCCCTCGGAGGAATTTGAACAACTCCACTAAAAAGCCTTTGAATGATTACAACGGAAACTCGCCTAGTCTACCCTTGAGCCACCCCAACTCTATCTTCTCTAATAAGAGTTATGCATCTCTACCTTGCGGGTAGAGAGCCTCTCAGCTTTACAACAAAGCTCTCACAACACACTAACCAATCCGAGGATGCTACACTTAGCCAATCCTCAAAAACCCAATTACAATATGAAGAAGGGAAAAAGAAACTCTATTTGGAACTCCGTGAGCAGGTTCAGGTGCCTTGGACTTGGTAAATATTCTCGTGTATATTTCTCAATAGAAGCTCGGTCAAGCCCACCTCATTTCTCTTTGGCTGCTTCGTTTATATAGGCTGTCTTGGGCAGACCGTTGAAGCATCCTTCCTTGAATAGTTGATCTTCTAATCTTGGGACTTGCCTCAATATTTTGAATTGCTTTCCTTTTTTTATATAATATTTCCCATATCCGAGCTCAATATATAAGGCAGCCGAATTAAAATATCTTAATCATATATTCAAGGTAGCATATCAGTCCCGGACTAAGAGAATAAATACAAACAGCTCATCCAAATCTCGTGTGATCAATTAATTACCAAATAAGACAGGCTTCGGTCAATTCCCAAAAAGGTAGGAATATTATTCTCAATATAAGCAAGCAACGGATTAAAATATGGAATACATTTTTCAAACAACTTTTACTTTTTCAAATCCGTATAGCAAGGGAATATTTTACCTACCATAATTAGCATGTGACGGCCCATGCCAGAAAACATCCATACTCAAACTATTCGCTTATTAAGTTAATCAAGGATAACTTTTATGGCAAGGAGATATTTAGCAAAGCATGCAATACGTAAGTGCTATGGTCAACCACCAAACATAAATCATGCAATCAAATAAGGATACTTTCCATAAAGTAATAAGCTATACTGATAAGTGGATGTCTAATCAAGTATGGAAAGAGAATAACCACTCAAATAAGCACTCATACAAGCTAATTACGTATATCATGCCAAGAAGGATATTTTTGCTTAAAATCATATTTTTGACAAAGTATAATAACTCATATACGGAAAGCGTATTAATTGAAAATCAAGTAGGTGCAATCACTATTAATTCAAAATCATATCACGGAACTAGAAATGGTTCTGCATTAGTTCCACCTGCATGGTTAGATATCAGTAGAACCAATGTGCACTCATATCATAGGATAGTTTCATCTTTCGTTCCTGTATGGTTAGTCATCAACAGTTCCTTCTTTCGTTCCTGCATGGTTATTCATCAACAAAACTAAATATTCAACAAATTCCCCCTTTTTGTTGATGACAAACCATAGGTGCCTTGAGACACATGACCTGCAGATTTTGCATTAATATAGAAGGACATGAGAGGCACCTGAATATTTCCCCCTTTTGGCATCAACCAAAAGGAAACATGAAAGAACTTACCTCTTTAAGATAAGATTCAAGGGGAAAAAAACTTATAATCAACCATTGGTTCCCCCTGAATTATACAGAAAGTGTGCCATTAAAGTTTAAGGAGTATTTCATTTATGTGCTAATTTAAGGCATGCTTTGAAAAATATTTTTGAAAAGAGACACAAATAAGACAGATAATTTAAGCATTAATTAGACCAAGTTCAAGTCAAATTAATTCAAACCTTTCTCTCCCAAGAGGCTTTGTAAAAATGTCAGCAATTTGTTTCTCGGTGCTGCAATACTCTACCCTGATTAGCCCCTTTTCCACGCAATCTCTCAAAAAGTGATGACGTATATGAATATGTTTTGTCCGAGAATGCATGACCGGATCCTTTGAAATACTGATCGCACTGGTGTTGTCGCATAAGATTGGCGTGCAATTTAGGTTGATCCCGTAGTCACTCACTTGTTGCATGATCCACAAGGATTGTGAGCAACAAGATGCGGCTGCCACGTACTCAGCTTCGGCTGTTGAAAGAGCAACCGGGTTTTGTTTCTTAGAACTCCATGAAACTAGGCAAGGACCTAGGAAGTGAGCCGTTCCAGACGTGCTTTTCCTATTTAGTAAATCACCTGCAAAATCAGAGTCTGAATATGCAATAAGGTTAAAATCTTCATTACGTGGATATCATAAGCATAGATTCATAGTTCCTTTGAGATATTTGAGGATCCTTTTAACCGCTTTGAGATGTGACTCCTTAGGATTTGCCTGGAACCGAGCGCATAGACCTACACTGAAAACTATGTCGGGTCTACTGGCAGTTAGGTATAGTAGAGACCCAATCATGCCTCTATACTTCTTTTGGTCCACGCTTATTCCCTGTTCGTCTGCATCCAATCGTTCATTTTCTCCCATAGGTGTCATCATTGTTTTGCCTTCACTTGCTCCATACTTCTTGAGAAGTTCCTTAATGTACTTTTGTTGAGATATTTGGGTTCCTTTGCTTGTTTGTTTGATTTGTAGACCAAGGAAAAAGTTTAGTTCTCCCATCATACTCATCTCGAACTCGGAACTCATAAGAGAAGAAAATTCATCACACAGTGAATCGTTAGTAGCACCAAAAATAATATCATCTACATAAATTTGAACAACCAATAGAGCTTGATCTTTTATTTTTAGAAAAAGAGTTTTATCTATTTTTCCTCTTTCAAAACCATTTTCCAAAAGAAATTTAGATAATCGCTCATACCAAGCACGAGGTGCTTGTTTGAGACCATAAAGTGCTTTATCTAATTTGAAAACATGATTAGGAAAATCTGGATTTTCAAACCCCGGTGGTTGTTCTACGTACACCTCTTCCTTAAGATAACCATTCAAGAAGGCCGTTTTCACATCCATTTGATGGAGTGTGAATCCCATGTGAGCCGCAAATGCTATGAGCATTCGTATTTCCTCTAATCTTGCCATTGGTGCAAATGTTTCGTTGAAATCTATCCCTTCTTGTTGGTTATAGCCTTTTACAACAAGCCTCGCCTTGTTCCTTGTGATTTGTCCATGTTCATCAAGCTTGTTCTTAAATACCCATTTGAGACCTATCACAGTTTTGTTCTTAGGTCTTGGTTCTAGATGCCACACCTTGTTCCTTTCGAACTGATTTAGTTCTTCCCGCATAGCTAGAACCCAGTCAGCATTGGAGAGCCACTTCATGGTTCTCCGGTTCTATAAGAGATAAATAAGCAAAGAAAGCACAAAAATTTCTAAGTTTAGATCTAGTAGTTACTCCCTAATTTAGATCTGTTAAGAGGTTATCCAGGGGATGTGATCGATGATGCTTCCACCCTCTTGGAGCATTTGGTTGATCCACCAATTTGTGTAGAGTATCTGAAACTGATTCTACAGGCTGACTGGCTGAAGTCTGTCCAGTTTCTTCTTCAGTTCCAGACTCGTTATCTTCATTGGTCAGTGATGGTTCTCCAGATTGGTTGGTGTCATGGTCAGTTCCACTTTCCCTTTGAGGTTGTATCTCCTTGCGTGTCATTCCTATTTCTTCATCATCGATTTGGCTTGGTCTTAAGGCAAGTGATTCATCAAAGATTACATGGATACTTTCTTCCACACATTGTGTGCGTTTGTTTAGAACTTTGTAAGCTTTGCTATGAGTTGAGTATCCAAGGAAGACTGCTTCATCACTTCTTGAATCGAACTTGCCAATGTTGTCTTTCCCATTGTTATGAACAAAACATTTGCATCCAAAAGTTCTTAGATGACTAATGTTGGGCTTTCTCCCTTTGAGTAGTTCGTAGGGTGTCTTCCCTAGGAGTGGACGGATTATAGCACGGTTAATTATATAGCATGCCGTGTTTAGTGCTTCTGCCTAAAAGTTTCTTGCTAGACCACTGGAAATCAGCATTGTTCTAGTCATGTCCTCCAGAGTTCTATTCTTCCGTTCTACTACTCGTTCCTTGCAGAATGCATCAAATAGTGAGTTGTCAAACTCAGTTCCATGATCCGATCTGATCTTGATTAATTGTAGCCCTGTTTGATGTTCAACTTTCCTTACAAAAACAACAAACTCATTAAAAGTATCTTTCTTGCTTGCAAGAAAGATAGTCCAAGTATATCTTGAAAAGTCATCAACAATAACTAAAACATATTCTTTATTTCCTCAGCTACGGATTGACATTGGACCACACAAATCCATGTGAATAAGTTCTATGGGCTTGCTTGTGCTCACCAAATTCTTTGTTTTAAAAGATGATCGCGATTGTTTTCCGGTGGCACAAGCAGAGCAAATATGATCAAGTGAATATTTTATATTAGGTAGCCCAATTACCAAATCATTATTTTTGAGTTTATTTATTAATGAAAAACTAGCGTGTCCAAGTCTTTTATGCCATAGCAGGGGATCATTGTCAATAACGCTCAGGCAAGTTAGACTTATATTTGGCAATAAATGAAGATCAACCTTATAAGTATTTTCTTGTCTCTTTCCCTCTAGTATAACTTGCTGTGATTCGTTATTAACAATGCGACATACATTATGATCAAAAACTACACTGTTACCTCGGTCACAAAATTGAGAAATACTTAGCAAATTAAACTTTAAACCCTTGACTAGAAAGACATTGTCAATTGCATGGTTAGGTGACTTTCCAACTTTTCCCACTGCAATTATTTCTC